CCGCTCTTCTAACGAGCCCTCGTTTCATTTCCCATTCCAGGCCAGCTTGAGGCAGGATTGCAGCATTAGTAAAGACATACAGAACCTGAAGTGCGAGATAATCACAAAACTGAATCCGTCGGAGGTACCTGTTGCACTCGACGACCTGGACAGAGGGGTGAAGAAGACACACAGCTTCGCCGGGAGCGATATCTCGAAAACGAGTCTGACGAGCAGCGAGAACACGGATGTGTCGATTATCACAACCACCACAGAGGGCAGCCCCTCGTTGCTCAGCACCGAGGGTTTCTGCGAGGGCGAAAGCACCGACGTATCCCCGGGCTCGACTCTAAACAAATCCAACAGGTGTACACCGACTATGGTCACCGACAGCGAAAATGAAACGACAATGATCTACGACGACGATGACGACGAGGAGACTATGATAATGGAGAACGGTTTGAAGCTGACGAGGAAGAAGGCGGGAATCGGCAGGTCGAGGATGCAAAAGGCTTGCAAGGAAACGGATGTAATTGCGTCGACGAATATCTCGAGGACTGAGAGTAAAGACGACGGAATGGACTGTAATTTCGTGTCGGAAGACGAAGAGAAAGAGCAAGAGCCTATCTATGTGAACGCTTGCAACGAGACAAATTCGAGGAACCTGGAACACACGGACAGTGTGATCACGGAGTTGCCGAAGATTAACGAGGATTATAGTAATAATAACAGTAGTGGAAATCTTGGAAATACTAATAACAATAATAATAGCGTGTAAGTATTGGTTTCTTTGAAAAGGTGTAAGGGAATACACGTTTACGAGGGTTTTCTAGTTTGTAATGTTAGACCTGGTGCATATGAAATGTCCACTCAAGTTCGAAGAAGCAATTTACTTTCATTCGTGTGTATTGAATTCTTCGAACTTTATTATTTGAGAATTTTAGGAAATTAAATTGAAAATGTATAGTAAAGAAAAAAATAATTTAATTTGTTTTGTATAATATATATTAAGTATAATATAAATTATGTTCTAATTAAATACAATATTTATATAGTGTTTTAAGAAATTTATCTGATTAAAAGATTATTTTATAAAACAACATTTAATATGCACCAATTTCATAGTAAATTAAAAGGAGAATTTATAGTTGACTATAGCTCAATTGGTTGCATAAGTTCTATATATAAATATTTTGTTTTAGTGGAAATTGAGGAAAATGGTACAGGAAAAATTCAGTGATGTGTCAGAGTTTATTCTTGTGAAATATTCTCAAAGCATAAGTCTATCCTTATTTTAATTTAGTACTTATAATCCAGAATAATATAATATTTATTTTGAGATAAATATATTCTCAACTTTTCTTAACGAAATTAGTTTTATTGAGAATAAACTCATACTTTATCATATCCTTTTGGAATTATTAGTCTCTTGAAAAATACTAATCTTAATTATAAAACTCTATTTGTATAAAAATCATATTGTCATAGAAACAATTTTGATTATTACCATGTCATATAAATTCCAATGTGATCTATCATATAATAAGTTTAAATGCTAAATTGATAAATTAGTTAGAATGTTTATGAATAATAAACAGCATTTACATTTGAAATCTATATTTAATTTGTACAGATCTCTGAAAATGGAAATCGACGAGCACAACGTAGAAGAGACCAGCGGGAACTGGTACAGCGATCCTGATGAGGATAAAATGAACGACGATGTCTTTAGACATAGTACGTATCGACCAAACAGCAACCATAATTCAGTTTTGGAGTGCGTTAACCAGATCCTCTTGCGAGACATGGAGGAAGAAGAAAGTATCCTTTCCGTGCCTAGGAGATTCAAGCATCGAGGGAGAATCGTCCGGTTTCAACCAGCTAAATTATCAGACATCGAGTCAGTAGGATCTGAAATGGAGAGGAAGAACTCCGAAGAAGGAATTATCGAGAAAGAATCAGTGAGCAACGAGTTCACCGATGTTCCTGCCAACAGTTTTGAGCCCACTGCTACAGAAGATGAATTTGGCATGAGTCTTACTCAGAGTGTTTCAACGTCGAATGTTGCGACCACAATCGCGAATCACGAGTCGAGCCTCGAGGAAGAGTCAGAAGAATCGAAAGCTATCCCAATTGTCATTATAGAGCCAAAGGTCGAGGTGGAAGAGACACGGCACGCAACTTTCTCCTCTTCACAGGTAACACAGAAAACAAAGACGTCTGTGAATGCGACAAACCCACCCTTAAAATTAGAGCGAATCGAAGAGAAGACATGTTTACAGATGTCTACGAAAGGGCTGACTATAGCAAAGAATTTGGACTATGAGGATATTGAATCGCTTCCAGAAATCATATCACCACCACCTAAAACGCCACCTGCACTGCCGCCCAAGCCGCAGTTTAAGAACAATACGTTAATCCTAAAGAAAATCCCTAGTCCCTCGTTTCTAATTGACGAAACGCGGAAAAAGCAGCAGCTCCTCGAATCCAATTCGTCTGAACACACCAAGAAGATCTTTGGTTTTATATCCTCTCCTTTAAAATCTGCCGGAATTAATGTGTCATCTGCAAGAAGTTTGAATTTCGACGATGCTATTAACAAAGTTACAGGGAACAACGAGGAAGGAAATTTTTGGAAGAATAGGTTCAATAACGTTCGATCTTCCTTCCAAGCACGACAAAACCACGAAACTAGCGGGGAACAGACGCGAAAAATTCCCCGAGTCACCAATATCGTACGCCATTTTGAGGAATTCAAAATTGGCGGAGAATCGGAGGATCAAACGAAGGAACGCACGAAAACGAAAGAAAAACACGTTCATTCAGAATTCGATCAAGAGTTTGATATCAGACAGAATTTTGAAGAATTCAATCTAGACGAATGCGATCTATCGGATGATCCTGATAGACCAGAGGGTGATGGATCAGAAAGGCTCGGCAATCTTGGGGCGACGGTTAGTCAGAACGAGAAAACTGCCGCAACCAAAGACAATAATAATGTTCCTCTTGCTGCGAGCAATTCGAGCAGTGGCTACGATCACTTCCTAGAAGCGACAGGTCTTAGCAATAAATCTATATTGACACCCTCGAGGTTGCTGAGCAACCACAAGAGTATGCTGAAGCCGAAAGACGTGAAGTATAAGAATAAGATCAAGGCGACAGCTGTAATGGAGAAGCACGGTATTTCTACGACAAATAATACTACTCATGTTAGACATTGGACAGGCCCATTCGTCTGACGACTGGCTCAAGTTTTTCCAAAAAGTCTGTTCCGACAAGAAGCGTCTGCCGAAGGAACGTGAATGATAAGTAAATGAGAATTAGTAATTATGATAGAAACTAATGGAAATTCAGACCGTGCTTCAAATACGATTATTTGAATGTAAAATGTAATTCTGTAAATTATTATTAATGTTCACTTTCCTCTTTTTAATACAATGCTTTTATTAGGTTCTTGTTACTAAAGAAATAGAGGAATGTAGGTGTTAATTTATTTATATCAGCTTCGATTTAAAGAATATTTCGATGTGTTGTATATTTTGATAAAATGTTTCTTATCTATTTATAGCGTCATTAATGAAATCGATGAAATGAATAATTAATAATACCGTACGTACGTTAATATAGTTTTTTTTTCGCTGTGAGGTGCCGCGAGTAAGTTTGTTTACTATGGAATTTAATGTTTTTATTATGAGAACGTTTTTGTTCTGTTGTTTTCGACCGAAAGTCGCAAATGAAAAATTGAACGTGTTAAACGAATAATGCTTATTTTTACTTCATTAAATTGAGTGAAATGAAACAAATAGGCGAATTAGTAATGATGCACATTGTTTAAAATTAAATTATTTTTTATGTATATTAACCCGTAATTACGTTCGTGCTACATAACCTTTATTATAAAATTCAAATGATCAAATTCTAAATATCTCAACCGATCGTTACTTAATCCCTTATAGTATTTAAGAATCCGCATGTATGTAATTACGGATTAAATATTCGTCAACTAAACGGTATAAAAGCAAAATATACGTATTCTATAAAAACATTAGAAACATTGCATGATACTGACTATACGTACTGACAGAAATCAGTTCAAGGATAAAAGTAAAACTGTATTGTTTTCTTTTTGTTGGAAATAAAATTAAAGATGATTTTATTGAAAGATTCCTGCGTTTGATTAAGAAATAGGAATACACCAGTATAATGTTAAGTATTTTGTGGCAATTTATAAACAACTAGAACATATGATACATATATAACTTCTACTATCTATAAAAATACAACGCAACTCTATAAAAATACAATGCTAATTGTCACTGGTATTAAAATCTAAATAGGACACGAAAAAAAAAAAGTACTTCAGAAAATGGACAATATTTAAATTCGAACATTTCATCGGTAAATGTTTTAAAAGGATTCCATTTTCGCGGGTTAGTATAAATCACTCGTTCAGGCACTCTATTACACTTGGCTAGTGCTATATTATCAATACAAATGTATAGACATAGCTGAAAAATTGCATGAAGAATCACACAATTAGTTTGGCACAGTGGTTTCTTCAAGTTTCTCTCTCTGCACGAAAATCGTAAAAAAACTGCAAAGAGAAATGAAAAATAAAAATATTAAATACATTAGTACACTATAAGTTTCGAATGAATATCAATCTTACCTCTTTATCCAAATCTTTCTGAGTCCAAACCCTAATCATAGGTAGTTTATTCTGTAAGTAATGCAATTAAAAAATAATTGTTTACAAAACAACACATAAAAAATATAATTTGTTTCAATAAAAATTACTCACGGAAGAAGAATCAGATTGAACAATTATACGTGGATTAAGAACAAATGGGATTCCATCCAAATCAGAGGACCCTAGCAATGTACCATAAATTGATGTAGATCCAACAACTGTTGATGTTGGAGGTTGTGGAGCAGGTCTTGTTGGTCTAATTCTTGCACTAGGACTCAGAATTTCGTAATCTCTATCGCTAGATTCTTCATTATCCTTTCCCCCATTCCCACTAATTTGTGGATAAACCCCGTTTGTCGGTTTTGGCGAAAACTTTGGTTTTGGTGGCCTTTCAGGAGGTACTCTATGGGGTGTTCCATTTGATGGATTTGGGGAAGCACTTTGAAGTAAACTATAAGTAGAATATTGTATATTATAGCTGTTAACATTTGATGTAAATATATCTTAATTCTTTTTAAAATATGAATGACTCTTACTCTATATTAACATACGATTGTGAATTCGAATTGCCATTTACAATATCCACAGTTTTGTAGCAAACACAAACTCCATTGATGATACTGAAAAAAAAAAAGAAGAAAACAAAATGAAGATATGAAAAACAATTTGTTTTATAAAATATTTATAATTCTCTAAATATACATACCCAGCAGCAATAAACCCGTTTGGTGCCATTTTAGATGTATAAACCTTATGTATAACTCTACTACATATGATAATATCAGTAACTGCTTTTGAACAAAGTTCCTTATTTCTAATTTTATAGCACACCTGCTTCTTCCTCCATGCCTTCTGCACTAAAATCCATTACTGCAATGTACTAAACAAAAACACTTTCCTGATAAATGATACATTGATCAGTCTTACGTATGCTCACATGAATCTACAGTATAAGAAATTATGCTGTATCCTTCCGGTGGAGTATCTCGTTCATTAATAACTACTATATCTTCGACCACACACTGAGATAACCCTTCAGTCTTTGAAAAACATATGTATCTCCCTTTCTTTTTAATAAAGAGTCCACTTTCTCGCCATAAATCAGCATCAGTATCTTGATCATATGTTCTTGACACCTAGTGATAAAATAATATATCACAATTCTATATAATATTAATCAATCTATAAATAAAATTTTAATATTTAAAAATAATTAATTAAAACTAATAAATAATTATAAAAATAATTAAAAAATAATGTTATAAACTTAAAATAAAGTATATTAAATAATTCATAAAAATATTTGTTAAGGTTATTTACCACTGTAAAATTTGGTGGACACTTATCTATATCTTCAACAACACTTATGGAAGTGATGGGCCTGTCATCAGGTAACACAGATGATAACTGATGAACTAACATTTTGTTGCAATTAGTCTTCTTAGACATTGTTGCAATCCTGTTAAAAGCATATTTATGTAACTGTTTTTGTTTGTTATATACATAACATATACTGAATCACATACACATATAATATGTTAAACTTAGATTGTTACAAGTTAATGACTATAATATACTGTTTTACAGATAACACAATTATTACAAAAAGTTAATTTTAATAGATAATTCTAAACGATATTTTAAATATCACAATTAGCATAAGATATCTAGTAGTCATAATATGATAAAATAGAAGAAAAAGTTCATTGATATAAAGCACATTCCCCCACTAAAGTTCATTATACTTTGATTCATCAGAATTGTGAGGAATGTAACTGTGGTCTTCCCCTACTTTAACTCGATGACCTATTTTCGATCGATAAAAAAAATGTATGATAATAATTAGCAAATTTCACGTATTAAAGATTTTAACGATGACAATTTCGAAACTCAATAAAAACTAGTTCATTAGTATAAATGGAGCACTATTGAAACACGTATCACATTTAATATAATACATTTTTTAAATATTCACTTTTAAAATATTCATGATATAGAAACATAACATTCAACAATATCAGTCATCCACGCTATTCGCATATTTCTGAATTTGCTTACCTCTAAATTTCACGCGACACAAATTTATGAATTCTGCATATTTGTTACTTTATTTATTGTTGTACTTTTTATTAGCCGGTCAATTAATCACAATAGAATAACACGGCAATTTTCAATCGAGGCACTATCGACTCAAATTTTCTTTGACACGCAATTGTATTCTTTGAAAGACTCATTCGTAATAAAGTGAAGGTATCCCAATACATATGAATAAACAAAGAAGGAAAGAATTGACGACTGAAGAGAGAAACGGAACCATGAGAGAGAAAAGTACTTATTGAGTGGAAGATAAACGTATGTACATCCAATCAATTGTTCCGTCACTGTTAAATAATCTAATGTTCACGTACATTCAAATACTATCAAGTCAAAAGCTGATAAGATAGTAACCGAACCTCACAAACACTATAACTCATAAGAATTGCTCTTCTTCTTTGTCTCTTCGTTGACCGTTTTAACTAAATTGATATCAATGACATCACTTCTACCACCACCACACGGTAATGACTACCATCTTAACTGACTAGGGTAGTTGTGTTCAATAAGCTAACCTCTGTTTCCGTTCCTTTCACGCCGTGAAACTTTACGGCGTTTTTCTTCGTCCTTTCTGTGTGATTACTCTCCGCCGGATATTCGCTTGATCGTACACGTTCTAGTCCGCTTTATACTTAATTAATCCGTTTTCCAAGCGATAAGAAAATGGATAAGAATCAAACGCCACCCCTTTATCAGCATGCTTATTGCTTGATTGTTTGTGAAAAATTTTTAACACAATTTAAATGTACAACACTGTAACACTTTCTTCAATCGTGGCCATGACACTCAGCTTTAATACTGAAACTAAAGAAACAGTATGGCGTCTTGTTTATCTTCTTAATGTTTTTATAAAACATTTAGTATAGTTTAAAATTGATTTTATAATGATTCTATACGTAACATACTTAAAAAGATTATTTAAAAAAGAAATTGTTATCACTGATCTTTTAAGCTCTGAAGTGTTATTTTTTAAACATAAAAACATTCTAGATGGCGTTGTAACGTTTGTATCTAAATAGTCGGTATAAAGAATTCTTATTTGAGTTTCAGCACTGAATAACGTCGGCTTGGGTTCCCAAGAAAAATTCGTGACGTGGGTAACGGTACAATATAAATTTTCTGTGGCAAGGCATGACTCTCCTACAGGTAATTGAATATTTTATTAAAAAGATATTTATTAAAAATATAAGTATGTTTTTATTAATATATACTTGATATTGAGATATAAAAGCAAAACCTAAAAAAATGTAAGATGTTTGCAATATTAGTTTTTCAAACTGTAAGATTATAATAATATTTATTACAATCTGTGGTTTTTATAGCAATTAATCCTATTAATTTAATTCATGTGAGATTGTATATCTCACAATGTTAAAATAAGAAAGTAAAAATTGGTGTTTAAGAAATAAATATTTAGAATAAACAAAAAAACTATAATTTTCCAAGCATATAATTCTATAGTATAATTATATTGCCAAGTATTATCAAAATTAAATAATTATTTATTACAAAATTCTTGTATCGATTAGAATATACAGTGTCGCAAAAATGTAATATTGACTCATTACAACATATTTTCATTGATTGGGATATACAGTATTGCAATAATATAATATGGATATGTTAGAAAGTGTAGCTAAATAGAAATATGGATATAATACAAGTTATTATCGAGTATTATATAGATACAAAGTATTGCAAAATGACAATATGGATATAATACAAAATATTGCTGAAATATGATGTGGATATGTTGCAAGGTTTCTTTATTCATTAGGGTATAGAGTATTGCAATAATATAATATGGATATGCTAAAAGGTATTGCTAAAAAGAAATATGGATATGCTACAAATTATTATTCAGTACTATATAGACACAATGTATTGCAAGGTGACAATTTGATTATAATAAAAAATATTGGTAAACTGTAATGTGGATATGTTAAAACATCGTGCTATTGATTCAGATAGATAATATAAATATGTTAAAAAGTATTGCTAAAGATAAATATGGATATGTTAGAAGTTATTGTTACTGCATTCTACAGATATACAGTATTGTAAAATAATAATATAGATATGGTGCTAAGTATTGCAAAAATGTAATATTGATTCATTACAACATTTTTTTATTGATTAAGATATAGAGTATTGCAATAATATAATATGGATATGTTAGAAAGTATTGATAAATAGAAATATGGATATAATACAAAATATTGCTGAAATATGATGTGGATATGTTGCAAGGTTTCTTTATTCATTAGGGTATAGAGTATTGCAATAATATAATATGGATATGCTAAAAGGTATTGCTAAAAAGAAATATGGATATAATACAAGTTATTATCGAGTACTATATAAATACAAAGTATTGCAAAATGACAATATGGATATAATACAAAATATTGCTGAAATATGATGTGGATATGTTGCAAGATTTCTTTATTCATTAAGGTATAGAGTATTGCAATAATATAATATGGATATGCTAAAAGGTATTGCTAAAAAGAAATATGGATATGCTACAAATTATTATTCAGTACTATATAGACACAATGTATTGCAAGGTGACAATTTGATTATAATAAAAAATATTGGTAAACTGTAATGTGGATATGTTAAAACATCGTGCTATTGATTCAGATAGATAATATAAATATGTTAAAAAGTATTGCTAAAGATAAATATGGATATGTTAGAAGTTATTGTTACTGCATTCTACAGATATACAGTATTGTAAAATAATAATATAGATATGGTGCTAAGTATTGCAAAAATGTAATATTGATTCATTACAACATTTTTTTATTGATTAAGATATAGAGTATTGCAATAATATAATATGGATATGTTAGAAAGTATTGATAAATAGAAATATGGATATAATACAAAATATTGCTGAAATATGATGTGGATATGTTGCAAGGTTTCTTTATTCATTAGGGTATAGAGTATTGCAATAATATAATATGGATATGCTAAAAGGTATTGCTAAAAAGAAATATGGATATAATACAAGTTATTATCGAGTACTATATAAATACAAAGTATTGCAAAATGACAATATGGATATAATACAAAATATTGCTGAAATATGATGTGGATATGTTGCAAGATTTCTTTATTCATTAAGGTATAGAGTATTGCAATAATATAATATGGATATGTTAGAAAGTATTGCTAAACAGAAATATGGATATAATACAAGTTATTATCGAGTACTATTTAGATACAAAGTATTGCAAAATGACAATATGGATATAATACAAAATATTGCTGAAATATCATGTGGATATGTTGCAAGGTTTCTTTATTCATTAGGGTATAGAGTATTGCAATAATATAATATGGATATGCTAAAAGGTATTGCTAATGAGAAATATGGATATGCTACAAATTATTATTCAGTACTATATAGGCGCAATGTATTGCAAGGTGACAATTTGATTATAATAAAAAATATTGGTAAACTGTAATGTGGATATGTTAAAGCATCTTGCTATTAATTCAGATAGATAATATAAATATGTTAAAAAGTATCGCTAAAGATAAATATGGATATGTTAGAAGTTATTGTTACTGCATTCTACAGATATACAGTATTGTAAAATCATAATATAGATATGGCGCTAAGTATTGCAAAAATGTAATATTGACTCATTAAAACATTTTTTTATTGATTAAGATATAGAGTATTGCAATAATATAATATGGATATATTATGAAGTATTGATAAATAGAAATATGGATATAATACAAAATATTGCTAAAATATGATGTGGATATGTTGCAAGGTTTCTTTATTCATTAGGGTATAGAGTATTGCAATAATATAATATGGATATATTAGAAAGTATTGCTAAACAGAAATATAGATATGCTACAAGTCATTATTAAGTACAATATAGATACAAAGTATTGCAAGATGATAATATGGATATAATAAAAAATATTACTAAAACTGTAATCTGATTATGTTAAAAAATTTTGTCATTGTGTATACATAATATGGATATGTTAGAAAGTATTGCTAAAGCAAAATATGGATGTACTATAAATTTTTATAGTATACTATAACATTTTTTAGGTTTGCAATATGATTTTCAATATTATGTTCTAATATATCTCTTATTCTTATTGAAAAATATAATATGATTATATGATAATTGTTGTGATACCGTAACAGTTATCTGATTATACGGTATTACCGTAAATAAGATAACTTTTACGGTATCATACGGTCAATTCACCTTTGATATGTTTAAATTTCGTGATATTAATAAGATTAAATGTAACACAGAATGAACTTGTTTATTTATTTCCTACGATTGTCATTATGAAGGAAAACAATTCGAAACATAAGGAAGTAACTTGTTTATTTTGTTTTTTTTTTTTTTTTTAGCTGTAATGCTGTACCTTTTTTTTCTATATGTATACATTAAATTGCTGATTATAACAGTGGTATGCCTTCATTTCAAGAGTTTGTGAACGGAATAAAGGAACCAAGAAGAAAATCATCGATTGAGGGGACAGAACCTGATTTATTCAGCCATGGCAATTTAAGGCAATTCTGGATGTAGGTAGGATTGGGGGAGAAGTTTAAAGAAGAAGCGAATTTTCAATTCATTTTATATTTATTATAAAAAGTCATCGTTTTGTATTAATTTATTCTCTGTAATAAACTTGTATCCCTACACACTTTTTTAATTTTTGCGTACTTCCATAAACCGAGCGGTACTGCGTTCCCACCAGCATGTAAATTACGAATTTTTCAATAACTTGGAATACTTATATATAATAAGTAATACAAAGTGTTTTAAATAATATATGAGAAAGGAATACAGACTTGAAACATAATTTTAATAATTAACAGATTCTATTCTAAAGAAATATACCTGTGAACATTCAACGTTTTACTCAGGTAGGTATTCCCTCCACTTTTATAGACCTTTCTATACAATTCAATAAGTTTGCTTCTGATAGGTCAAATTGTTGTTACCTTAACCCCACTTCTTTCAATATCAATCAAATCTCTGCATGTACTACTGATGGCGCCACATGTATGTCTTCCTTAAAATTTATTCATTAAATTCTAATCATTTGATAGTGTTGTGTTTGTGCGTGTATGATTCATTTTCCATTTACGTCTAATGTGATAACTTTACTTTTTTATAGCTTTATGTGATATATTTATTTTTTATTTATTGAAATTTTTCTATATAGTATACATCGTTCTAGCATAACGTGGATATTTAAGTCTTATGTTTTCCTAACCTTAAAGAAAGACTTGCAGTCTTTTTATTAACTTCCATGTATACGTAGTTTCGTTTGTTGTATACTACGGAAATGAAACGAAACGTATCGAGTCATTCACATCGCGATGAGAAATGTAAATCATCACGCAGTGAAGATCATGAGACTGGTTCGCGTGCAAGAACAGAAGAAGAAAAATTACGACGTAGACGCGAATGGATGAAACAAAAAGAGCGGGAACGAGAACATGAAAAATTGAAGGAAAAAATGATTTTAGAATATGAAATACAACGTGCTCGTCAAAAGGGTTTACCTCTACCTAAAAGAAGATTATCACATCAGGATCGTAGTAAGAATGAAAGCAGGTCTCCAGAAAATCGACATAGAAGAACAGCTACATCAAATACCTGTAAAACATCTATATTATCTGAAAAGTAAGTATAAACAATTTAAGAAACTTTCTTATTTTTAGAAAATGAAATAAAATTATTTTTATATATAAGTAAAAGTCAAATTAAGAAAGAAAGATGTTTAAAGATTATTTAAGATTACTCTTTCAAAACTTACGTATATTTATACATTTATTATACAACTACATATTGTAGTATAAATTTTTAATCATAAGTTATATTATTTCTATTTCATTATATTATTTTGTATATGTTCAGTTCAGTTCAAAAGTATAATTTAATTTTTAATTTGCAAAAAGGTATGAAATTTGAAAAATGTAATTATACATTGTGAAAATTTAAAATATTGTTTTGTACTCCAGAGTAGAATCATCAGATGGTACAACATCCTTATTTAAAGGCCCAGAAGGTATACAAGTTAGTGCTACAGAACTACGAAGAATAAAAGTAGACATTCATAGAAAAATAATGGGTAAAACAACAATTGGTGAACTTCAACGAGATATTATCAATCCTGAAGATGTGGTGCTGAAAAGAAGAACGGGTAAAATATTGTTTTTTACTATAATTATTTAACAACTTTCAGTAATTTAATGAAGAGATACCAAAAATGGATATGAATTCATCATGGAAGATAATTATTTCTGGGATTTTCCAAGCATCAAATCTACAAATTCAAGAGATTGTATGCTTTTTAATGTAAAGTTACGATCCTTATAATATATTTAAGTTTGTCTGATTACATGATAAATTTAATTGAATATAGCAATATTTTCACTTGATTAAATGCAACACCTGAAGATGATATTCTCTACAATTTTCTAAGGGCATGGAGATGATGGATTTATCATCATATTATATCTTCTATAACATTCAACAATCTACTCAACTATAAAGTTAATTCATGAAGTTAATAAGATGTTCTTGATTTGACAAGGATAAAGAAAATTTGGAATACAACGTTGGAGTGGGGTATTGAACATGTAATGTGCAATACGTAAGCACAACATTTTCTTATCTTGAGTGTTCTAAGAGTGCTTTCATTTCTTTTTATTTATTTAGTTTTTTTGCTGCTTTATACCCTTTTTGCTACAGAGTTTGCACAAAAAGTTATAGTAATAAAAAAGAAATAATTTTATATAAATAATAATGATTTTTGGGGGACAATTCTTTAGATGTTTACTTCATTTTGTGCATTCTCCTTATGCTTTGCTTTTGGAATGTTTGCATGTATAAAAATGCAAAAAATTATTTGTAAGAATAATTTCTATGGTGGTGTGCTAAATTCATTCATTCAACAATGGAAGAGGAAAAATTAGATAATGACATCACAAATCTTACAATGTAAAGTTTAAAGATCATCTACAGCAGAAGAATCTAAATTATATATTAAAATTCTTCAGTAAAAATTTGAGATTAAATATTAAATGTTAAAATTTTATATTCAGTGTAGAAGTTATTTTATTTAGTCTATTTGAATTTATTTCAACTTTTACATTTCTATATATCAAAAGTTTATTTTCAAATAATATAAAAATAACTGGAATTTAAAAGTAATTATAAAAACTGTAATTGTGTAAAATTATATGAAAAAAAGTAGTTACAAATTTTTGTGGAAAGAAATTATACTTTTAATTTTTTAACTGCAAAATGTCCTTAATTTGATACAATATATTAATTAGTCAAATATTGAATATTTGCTTCAAAAAGGGACATAGTTAAATTATGAAGTTGTACATCAACAAACTGGAAGATTTGTTAATCGTCTTGGAAGACCTAAAGCATCTTGGAAGATTATAGGATTATATGTTTATTAAACTTAAATTAGTTCAATTCAACAGAATTTTATTAAAAGAATTTTATTAGAAAAATTATTATTTTTACATCTTGAACTAAATTTTCAATAAAAATATTTGTAATACTTTTAGTATAACATTTTAAAAATTATACATATATATGATAGACCTAATAAGAGAAATAACATTAATAAAATTCTTATAAAAAAAAAGACAAATATACTTCAAATTAATAATTAATTAATTCATAACTTAAAATAAAAAATTTATATATTCATAAATTAGTTCCTTTTCTAATTACAGATTTATTTCTGTACATAAAAGCATTTCATGGTATTCTGGCACTCAAAAAAATTGTAAGCCATATATTTTCAACTATAAATTAATTCTGAAGACTGATTTGTATTTATAGAAGTAAAATATATTTTTTTCATAATATAAGATAAATTTATGTAAACAATTGATTTATACAATATTAATACAAAATTACTAATATAAATTAATGTAAAAGATAATTGTATTTTTACTTTCTTTATTGCATGTTTTTATAATTACACTTACTTCATATATATGTTATACATTGATCTGGCTTACAATTATTCAGAGGTAGTCAGTTTATTTACATATCAACCTTACTATCTCTAAGGTCTGTCGCAGCTACTAGTACCATTTTATTGCTTCTTTTTGTACATGCATTTGAAAATTTTTGTTTATAAATCAATTTATTTAAATGTAGGAGAGGGATCAAAACCTATATTTGAAAGAGAAGAAATAAAAGGTTCAACTAAAACAGAAGAAATTGAAGAACATCGTACAGTTGTAGCTATAAATAATGAAAATTTAGGTATGTTTATTATTTCAAATTTCAACTTTCTGTCATTGCATATATATTCTTTAATATATTTATAGAAAATATTATTTAAATTGTTCAGATAATATTTATGTTTGAAACAAATATGGATTATTATGTAATATTTTATATATATTAAAATATTACTTCTGTTTTGAAAGCATAACATGTTTAATTTTTAGAAAATAAATCGAAAACATGTAAAAAATTTGCTACTTCTTCAAGTCCTTTAAGAAGTCGAAGTCGTAGTCCTCGACGTACATCTCATCATTCCAGGTTTGTGTGTATATTGGTAATAATACTTTGCAAAGTAGCAAAGTTATTCCAATAAATGTCAAGTCATTATTGTATAAAATTTTATTTGTATGTATTTTATTTATGGGATATGAGTTTGCAATGTAATATGGATATGATTATTAGTATACAGCTAATTTATAAATGAAAAGAAGTTATTTAATAAGAATCAACTATTGGTGAACATTATATTCGTTTATAAATTAGATTTTGTATACAAAAATGGCATTGAGTATTGCTATTATGTCATCAGATGCACTTATAAACATTATAAGTATATTTATAATTATTTTTAATTAATACTAAATTTTATTGAGATATTTTGTAATTACATGTTATGTTGTTAATTGTATAAGTCGTAAGTATTGCACTTAACAAATTTATATCAGTACATATAAAATTATTAGTAGGTAAAATATAGGAATAATGTACCAAATTTGAGGATATCGAAACATATTTAGGTTCATTGTGAATATGTTTTTCTATTGCATATGTTTGTAATTATTGTGAATGTAATTGTGCTTTTTTATTTTTATTTTAGGCATGTGTTTTGTGTTATTACAGTCTGTTTTGTTCTAGCTTTACTAATGCTTCGCAAGGGATACAAGGGAGGACTGAAAAATGGAACAAGAATATAATATGCAATATATTTAATATATGCATATGCTTGCTTATGCTACTGCCAAGGCTTATGCTTTCTTTTTTAGTGTAATCATTTGCATATATTTTTTCTAAGGAAAATGCAAAGATATAATAAAATACTTTTTATCTTATGAATAAGCTATGGAATAAAATTCCATATTTGCATATTTGCAGTAGTCCAATTAAAATATTTTACAAATGAGTCTGTTATTTGTATTTCAACGAATTTTGATTAGTTTCTTTTCCCATGAAATAGTGAAAATATTAAAATATTAATTTATAAAATTTCCAAAAGTAATTTCTAATAAATAGGAAAAATATAGATTACTTTGCTAAAATAATTACTGGAATTTGTTATCAGTGTATGTTTACATATTTTTATTTTTTATCGTCAGTATGTTATGTGTAACTTTCAATTGAGTTTTTTCTTCAGGTTAATGATTAATAACAATTATTAATAGGTGAGTAATTTGAAGTTTTAAAACTAAACTTAATGTTTATGTATATGGACAATATATTACAATATATATCTCATAATTCATTACTTTGCATAATCCTTACCAACAATTGTATTAAATTGTACAAATCAGTGTTTTAATTTTTTTGGAATTTGTAACATGTACTATTGTGAGAATTATTCTATCTGCTTTTACACATCTTTTACAATAAGACTTTTGCACATATTCTTTAATCTGCTATTTTTTTTCGATTTCTAATACTCTAAAAATAAACCTATTTATAACAAGAACTTCAAAAACGAAATATAATATTAATGATTCAAAAGTATACAGAATCTTTTTATTGATATTAAATAATTAATATAGAATTGTAAATTTAGATAAAAATCAAATTTTAATATTTCATAGCATTTACCAATATTTACTATTGTTTAGTAACGTATATTAACCAGTTTTTTATATAACACAAACTAAATATAAAGATATAATACATATGTGGTAAAAAATAAATTCACCAAATGGTGAAATGTACAATATAATATGGATATTGACATTTAAAAAAAAATATGGATTTCACAGAGTATTGCATTTTATATATATATATATGGATTAAATGTAAATTTTATGATATCACTGATAATTCTTAAATTTAATTTACTATGTAACCAAATAGCTAGAAACTAGACTTTTTATTAAATAGTTATTCTATTTTAGGTATGACAGTTCAAAACATAGTAAGGATAGTTACAGAAATGATAGGTAAATGTTTTTATTATTATTTTATGTATACGTTTGAAATATTTATTTTTCATTTTTATTAAATATTTATAT